ATAGATAGATAGATAGATAGATAGATAGATAGATAGATAGATAGATAAGTATAATATATATGTATATGCTGTTGTTTTATTTCTGGAGTTGGTAACAAAAATTATTTTTCCGTCCTAGATTATCAAACAATTTCTCATTCTGATTCTGATCCATTTCATTTGGGGTTGATAATTTCTTTTGCATGCAAAGTGGGAGTGGGACGGACCTGAGCTGCTTTCCCTCCGCAGGGGGCTTCGTGTTCAAGCAGTGGAAGGAGAAGTTCCTGGTGCTGACCATGGAGGGGAGCCTGCTGGTGTGCCGGGACGCCGAGTCCCCCCCCGACCAGGTGGTGGCGCTCCAGAGCGACTGCGAGCTGGTGGTGGAGGGCCGCGAGATCCTGGACCTGCCCCGGCTGCCCGCGGGGGGGCGGAGGGACTGCTGCCTGGCCCTCATCCTGCGCCAGAACAAGTTCCTGCTGCTGCTCTCAGACAACCCCGACGACTGCAGGTGGCTTTTTCTGACCGGGGACTAGGGTTGTCACGATACTAAAATGTTCAACTCGATACGATACTCAGGAAAATACTCGATACTCGATACCATTTTCGATACCACAAGGATAAAAGCAAAGACCACCAAAATTTAGCTGAATTTTGACAGGTTAGTTTCAAACTGACCTGTTACTGATGTTATCATGACTGGTGGCCCGCATTAATAATCCTAATCCTAACCCTAACCCTGACCCTGACCCTAAACTAAACCCTAACCCTAACCCTGACCCTCCAGCCTTCATAATTGTGAGAAATAAATATTTTTTGGTTAAACTTGTTTGGACTTATTCTACAAACCTATTCAACATTACACTATTTTAACATAATATTATTGATAGAGTTTAATTAAGTGTTCGAAAGATTAATTTCAATATTTTTAAATTAATGTCTATACTGCCATGAGGCATTACCATTTTCTTGCCTGGGATCTTCCTATTGGTGACTTGGATGTGGGCGGAGTTAGATATGTACTTGATTAATGGTAACACGTTATTATTAGCCATTAGCCGAAGTTAGCAGTTCTCGGCTAACGTCTTGTTAATGACCATAAAGAAGGTGGTATCGATACTTTTGAAATTGAGTATCGTATCCGGAGACAACATTTTAGTATCTATACTTTTTTGAGTATCGATACTTTTGACAACCCTACCGGAGACACACAAATTCTCTGTTTGCTCGGGTCAAAGGAACCAATAACCATGAGCCACTTTTACCTTTTTACAGTGTTTGGCTGAAGCTGATCAGGAAAGTGAGAGAGGTGAGTCTGATTTTGTACGTTTGTCTCCCTCAAAGCTGCTCGCTTCAGCCCGATTCAGAGACAAGGAAACAGGGAAGAAACACAATTACAAAGAAACCATCTTAACTGAACAGGAATCGATGTTTTAGAGAATATTATTAGAGGCTAAATTTGATGCAGCAGCATACCCAAAAGAGCCAGAGTCACATATTGCATTTCTTTCATTTTAGAGACTATTTAGTTTTTTTTGCTTTTTTTCAGTGTTACAGAGGAATCTTTAAATATTTATTCTTAATTTTTTAAGATTTTTTCAGTTTTTGCACTTGTTTTTTTTTGCTTTTTTTCAGTTTTACAGAGGAATCTTTATGTATTTATTCTTAATTTTTGAATATTTTTGCTTTTTTTGCACTTGTTTTTTGCTTTTTTTCTGTTTTACAGAGGAATCTTTATGTATTTCTTAATTTTTTTTTAAAATTTTTGCAGTTTTTGCACTTGTTTTGGGCTTTTTTTTCAGTTTTTTGGTTCATTACCTGTTTATTTAGCATGTATTTGATATAAAAACTTTTTACCCCACGGAGCTGAGCGCTAACGGGCTAACAGCTTTTAATTTTCTCTCCCCGGCCAATAAAGCGTGCACACTCTGAGTCTGAGCACGTCGGCTGTTTCATTTTGACATTTCTTCATATAATCAAATGCACTGAGCATGATCGGAGCAAAAAAAACAAAACACAAAACACTTCTCTGTGCATCCATTCTGTCATGCATTTAAGTTTCCTCACTCTGAAAATGGAGCTGGAATCTGGTGATGTTCTCCTCCCATTCTGGGGGTATTTCCTGTAAACCCTCCTCTCCTCTGGTTGGTTGGCAGGGCGTCATGTCCCCTCAGAGCCTCCAGAGGCAGCGCAGCATCGCCCCCTGCATCACGGACAGAGACCCGCTGCCCGACTCCAGCAGCGACAGGGACCCCGGCTCGCCCCGGGTCGGGGAGGGCACCCCCCCGCCCGCCCGGGTCCCCGACAGAGGGGGGTCCTTCAGAGACAGGAGCCTGCAGCAAGGTCCGCCTCCAGCCGGGTACCGGCACAAACTCCGGGGTTTAAGCTGGGATTCAGGGGTCTGGGATAAGTCCTGGAAAAGTAGATAGAAGATCATGTTTGAAACATGACAAGCTGTAGGTTCTTACTGTCCTTATTGAAGCTTTGAAGTGTTTAAAAAACACTCCAAAAATGAATGCACGAGTCCACTTCTTGATTTTTAACGGTTTACTTGAAAACTTAACGCAACATTAAAAAAATATATATATATATATCCACTAAATTAAGTCCTACGGAGCCTGGGAAGGGCGAGGTCAACCAGGACCTTTCTGCCAGAGGGTTCTGGGTTGGAGTCCCCGGGGGAACCAGGACCTTTCTGGGTGGAGTCTGCATGTTCTCCTGTGTCTGTGGGTTCTCTCCGGGTTCTCCGGCTTCCTCCCACCGTCCAAAAACCTGCATGTTAGGTTGGCTGGACTCCAAACTGCCCTTAGTGTGAGTGTGTGTGGGGTTGTTGGTCCTTGTGTGTCTCTGTGTCCCCCTGTGATGGACTGGGGACCGTCCAGGGGGACCCCGCCTCTCCCCATTGGCTACTGGGATAGGCTCCAGTTCTCCCCCCATGACCCCATTAGGGGATAAGGGGTAACGATAATGGATGGATGGATGTTTCTTATCTGGCAGCTTTTATCAAAGCTTTACTCCTTTGTCCCCCCACAGCCAGCGGTCAGCGGCGGCCTCGGCGCAGCGTCTCGGTGGCGCCGCCCCACCGCGTGTCGGACTGCCTTCGCCACGGCAACAGCAGCGACGCCCGGGCGGTGCGGGCGGTCTGCCTGCTGATGGGGGGGGCGGCGGCCTCCTCCGCCCTGGGCTACCTCAGCTCCTGCTCGCCGGCCTCGCCGCTGGCCGCCCGGGCCTCAGAGATGGCCGCCCACAGCGCCGGGGGGGGGGGCTTCTCGGAGCTGCCCGGGGGGGGGTCCTTCCACGCCTGCAGCCAGGACGCCGACATGCCCCACTTCAACAGCTTCGACTTCGAAGGAGACTCCGACTTCGACGCGTTTGACTGCGGAGGATTCGCCTTTTAAGGGTGTGCAGTGTTAGAATTTGGTTATAGTTACTCACTTTAGCATCGTATGCTATCACGTGATCTATGTAAATTACTGATTGTTTTCTTTTATAACTATATTTTGTGTTGAAGTCCTCTTTTTCTTTTTCTGTTGCATTAGATCCACCTTTAGGTCAACACAAACACTTGGTTACCACATTCCTATGTCATCTACATGAATTATGACCTTGCCTGTTAATGGCCAGAAGTAGCAGGCAGAAACTATTCAATACCATTTTCGATACCACAAGGATAAAAACAAAGACCCCAAAATTTAACTGAATTTGGACAGGTTAATGTCTCTGGTTTTTAATGCCGGTGGCCCACATTAATGTTGGCATGTTATCATTAGCCATTAGCCGCGGCTAGCAATTCAAGGCTAACGTTACAATTTGGCTGTAATTACTCACTTTAGCATTGTGTGTTATCATATGATCTATGTAAATTACTGTTTTATTTTCTTTTACAACTATATTTTGTGTGGAAGTCTCTCCTCTCTCTTTTTATTTCTCTGTTGCATTAGATCCACCTTTAGGTCAACACACACACACACACCATTTGTTACCACATTCCTGTCATCTACATGAATTAGGACCTGGCCTGTTTATATCCAGAGGTAGCAGGCAGACACTATTTGGAAGCCATTTTGTTTTAAACAGCATTCCCTGTATTTGTATTATTTTGTCTATAACCAGTTGCTTGTCGGGTTCTCTGTACTTGTAAACTTACAAATCGATGACCGCGTTGTAGGGTTGTCACGATACTAAAATTTTCCAACTCGATACCGATACTCAGGAAAATATTCGATACTCGATACCTTTTTCGATACCACAAGGATAAAAAAACCCCCCACAAAACTGAATAGAATTTGGACAGGTTAATGTCTTTGATTTCAAACTGACCTGTTACTGATGCTATCGTTATTAGCCATTAGCCCCAGCTAGCAATTCAAGGCTAATGTCACGTTAATTATCAGAAACAAGGTAAATTAATAAATAAATCACAGAGAAGGGGGTGGGTAGTATCAATACTTTGGAAAATGAGTATCATATCTGTATACAACGTTTTAGTATCAATCATTTTTGAGTATCGATACTTTTGACAACCCTACTGCGTTGTTCCTGGTTTTACCAGGTAAATCCTTCATGATCTGGACTCCTTTAAACATAGTCTGTGAGTGTCCCATCCCTCTTTCTGTTTCTGTTTGGTGTAGTGTTCTACTGGCTGTTATCAGGTTTATCTGAATGTGTACAACAGGGGTTTGAGCAAAGCTTTTACCACTGAATGATGCAAAAAGTCTAAGATCCAAAAGACTTCAGAAACTGTATCTATCAAATATGATACATTTGGCATTATAGTGTTAAGTGGACGGTGGGGATTCGACCCTCCTTTACAGAAACACAAAGGAAATGTGATTGCCTCCGACTTGTTTTGAAGTTACCCCTCCCCCCACACAGTTCACGACCCGTCAAGTCCTTTTGGCTTCGTTCTCTCTTCCTTTTTTTTTCTTTTCCCTCCTTCCAACACAACAACAAATTTGAGGGCGTGACTGTAAAATGAAGGATCCTCAGCTTTGTTTGCACAACAAAAGAGCAACAAACCCGTCTGTTTAGGTTGAGTCTGAGGTTTAAGGATGCAAGGATTTGTTTGGATGAAGCCAGACTGGCTTGATGATGATTATTCCCTGAGGAGAAACCACTCTGCTGCATTATAGATTAAATATAAAGATACTACTGGTCATGTTGTGTTTGTTTGTTCGTGATATATCCAATTTTTCCCATCTTATCCACCAGATTTAATCATTTCATGGCGATCCAGTGAAGAAATAGCTTAAATCTTCCTCAGTTTTTCTCATCTTGAGTCGCATAACTTGAGTGTTTGGAGGGGTTCAACATGCAAACAGCTGCCGGAGAGCAGAGAAACTCTAAAGCGTCTGAGAAAATAAAAAAGCGAACACAAACAAACCCGATGGGGAAACGCAGAGGGTTGCGACAGATCGCCGAAAACAAACAAAGTGTGAGTGTGGAGCCGAGACAAAACAGGGGAAAAAGGAAGCAGAAACTAAACTGAACCGAGGAAAGGCTAAGAATAGAAATCCAGACGGACAATCCGTGAGAGTAACCACAAATAGATGACTAACACACACAGAACAGATCCTTATTTAAACCACTAAACCAAAACACAAATATCCCGTCACATACATGAATCAGAAGCTATTAACATGTCTCACAGATTCTCTCTGTATTTGTATTTTCTTATTTGATCCTGCATACAAAGCAAAGCTTTAATATTGTCCCGGGAGGCATTAGGGACTCACAAATGGCCCTTTGGCCAGCTTTGGATCTGTGCCATCGGAGAGCCAGCAGAATCAGGTTAAAGTTGGACTCTGATTTGATCAGAAGAGTGGAAAAACGATTTAAATCAACTGGCAAAAGGAGCGAAAAGGTTTAAATGAAGCGAGAAAAAGTAATCCAGTCTGTGTGTCTCCTGTCCAGTGTCAACTGGAGGCTCTTTTTCTATCAAAAACAAGCACGCGGACATTCAAAGATGAGAAAAGATTGATTTTGTTCTCATTTAATTCACTTTTTAGTTTCTGTCTGAGTCTGTGTAACATTAATCCCATATGAGGACTGTAAAGAGAAGGCAATACTGCGAAATAAAACATTTGGATTTGGCTTTTTGGTGTCGTTTTTTGGAGTCACATCTGTGTGTCCATCCAGGGAAGAGCAGCTCCGACACGGACACGCACCCGTGCGTGTTTACGCACTTTTGGATCCGGGCTGGAAGCCGGAGAACCAGTTCTGGACCCGATAACGCTCCTAAACAAACCTCCGACGCGTCAAACCCTTCTTCTGACTGGTTTTGCGCCTGTGATTTTCCCGGTTGGGGCTTTATTTTGGGCGGAATGTGTCGGTTTGGCGGTCGTGTCCGTGCGCTGAGTCACGTGCGGCGCGTGCGTCCGCTGCGCGCGCCCGTCGCCCCAGCTGATCCCGCAGGTCCAGCTGTGACGCGGGGCGTGTTTGCGCTTGTTTTTGCGCGCATTCCTCGAGGTCAAATTCTACCTGCAACTGCGTGGAAGGTGCGTAGGTGCGTGTGTGCGTGGATCACGTGGTGTAGGCTACCTCTGCCCCACTCCTCCCAGTTCGATATAAGTGCTACCTTTCAGGTTTGTGGGGGAAAACAGCGCGCGTGGAGAGCGTCATGGAGGTTTCCACCACCCTAGTGCTGGCGGGGCTGATCGGGGCTCTGCTCTGGTTCTTCACCGGGAACAGAAGCAGGAAGCACCGCCTTCCCCCGGGACCGACCCCCCTGCCCCTGGTGGGAAACCTGCACCAGATAGACAAGAAAACCCCCTTCAAGAGCTTCGTGGAGGTGAGTCTCTGCGTCCGGTGGCGGCCCCGGGGGGGGTGGAGGGTTTGTGACGCAAAGGCTGTTGTGGTGTGCGCAGTTCAGCAAAACGCACGGGCCCGTGCTGACCGTGCGCCTGGGCTGGCAGCGCGTGGTGGTGCTGGTGGGCTATGACGCGGTGAAGGGGGCCCTGGTGGACCAGGCGGACGACTTCACGGGCCGGGGCCCGCTGCCCTTCCTGGTGAGAGCCACCAGAGGATACGGTGAGAGGATTTCCTGTCCTTTAACTCCCAGATTATCACTCTGATTTCGTTCCTTATTATTATAACTAATAACAAAAAGAAGGTCAAAGAGTCTAAAACCTTCTTTAAAACGTTTTGCGCCTTTTTTGGTTTGTAAATTGGTTTGCGAAACATTTATGACAATAGTGTTGTTCTCAACTGATTATTACACAGTTAATTTAAACGTATTGATCTTAAACATCCATCCATCCATTATCCTAACCTCTTATTCCCTACTGGGGTCAGGGGGGCGGAGCCTATCCCAGTAACTAATTGCGAGAGGCGGGGTCACCCTGGACGGTCCCCAGTCCATCACAGGGACACACAGAGACACACAAGGACCAACAACCACACACACTCACAGTAAGGGCAGTTTGGAGTCCAACAACCTAACATGCAGGTTTTTGGACGGTGGGAGGAAGCCGGAGAACCCGGAGAGAACCCACAGACACAGGAGAACATGCAGAACCACCCAGAAAGGTCCTGGTTCCCCCGGGACTCCAACCCAGAACCCTCTGGTCCTGGTTCCCCCGGGGACTCCAACCCAGAACCCTCTGGTCCTGGTTCCTCCACCGTGATGTTTGATCTCAAACATGTTAACTTTTTCTTTTTGCTGTTTAAACACACTCGACATAGGATTCTTAGCAATTGTGAAATGGTCCAAAACTCCGGTTTTCAGTCCGGTTCTGTGGTGAGTTGCTGGGCTCAGACCACAGCGTTAGCAGAACCCGGTTCTCTCTGCTGAAAACGGGCTCCTTCGACAGGTTTGGGGATCAGTAACGGGGACCGCTGGCGCCAGCTGCGGCGCTTCACTCTCACCACTCTGCGGGATTTCGGGATGGGCCGTAAAGGGATGGAGGAGTGGATCCAGGAGGAGAGCCAGCACCTGAGGGACCGCATGAGCTCCTCCAAAGGTGGGCGATGTGGTCTCTACTCTCAATCTGAAAGCAGAGACAATGGGACAGACCACGTGCACGGAGGAAATGCCACGTGCACGGAGCAAACACAGAAACGACTTGTGAGGAAAATGGCTCACTATGTTTATCAGTTCGGATGAAAACTGAAAACCTCCAGAAAACACTGAACTCTCTAGAACCGAAAATACAAAAACACATGAGTTCAAAATGGCTGATCTCTAAGCTCCCAGTCGAAGCTGGAATCAATAAAAGTTAATGATTGGATTAAGGCAAGGCAAGGAAAGTTTATCTGTACAGCACATTTAGTGTACAAGACAATTCAAAGTGCTTCACATTTAAAGCCTGATCCAAGGAAAATAGTAAGAATATTGGATTTTTTTAGTCTGAAGTCTTTCTTTGGCCCCTCAACAACATATGAAGAAAAAAAAACAGAAATTATTTTGATCAAATTAGCGTGCAATAGGTCAAAAATATATTCTGGTGTAGTCTTCTACTGGCTGTTATCAGGTATATCTGAATGTGTACAACAGGGGTTTGAGCAAAGCTTTTACCACTGAATGATGCAAAAAGTCTCAGATCCAAAAGACTTCAGAAACCGTATGTGTCAAATATGATACATTTGGCATTAAAGGGTTCAGAGAATGTTTTTTTCTTCTCTTTTTCAGGTAAAAATGCCAAACTTGGAGCAAAGCTTTGCAGCCTCCAGGCTAGTCTGAGGGCCCCTCTGACCTCAGTTGACCATTATTATTAAAAAGGAAGGAGCAAAAAGGAGCAAAAAGGTTCCCGTTCTGTTGCAGGCGAGGCCTTCGACCCCACGCTGCTGCTGACCCGCACCGTGTCCAACGTCATCTGCTGTCTGGTGTTCGGCCAGCGCTTCAGCTACGATGACCAGCAGTTCCTGCTGCTCCTCAGCAACATCGGAGAGGCCGTCCGCTTCAACAGCAGCGCTCAGGGGATGGCAAGTGACCGGCCGGCTCCGGTTCTGTTAAATACTTTAAATGGGAGGTGTTCAACAGGGGCTCCGCGGCCCCCAGGGGCTCCTGGAGGTATTGCATGGGGGCCCCGAAAGTTTTGGTTGATTAGACTTTTTTTAATATCCCCCCTGCAATTTTTTCCACTAATGTAAATGTCTTTAAATCCACATGAACATGAACTCAACAGACTGTAGTACATGGAGGCAGAAGATGTCTTCCAGTCATCAAAACCACTAAGAAAAAAATTATATGATCTAAAGGCATTGCAGACTATCTGTTCTATGCTTCATCGGAGAGCTCGAACGTTTTCTGTTTCTAATCATTTGCTCCAAGTTTTTGTCTTCTTTTGTCATTTTGTGAGCAGT